TAGATCGTATACTTGTCTTTTTTACATATATGTAAGATAGTATGTAAAATTGTAAAGAAGAAGATATCAGGGCATATGAGTTATTCCGAGGTAAATTTTCAAAAAAAAAAACAATTAATGTTCATTTCAGGCGTGTATTTTTTAAATAATATTTTCCAGGACCAAACAAGGCGTGAACTTTTAAGAAATAAAAGGCGTTGTTTTTTTTTAAAGAACAATTTTTTAAGGGTGTATTTTCAAAGAATATTTTTTTTCAAGAATTTTTTCAAGGGTAGATTTTTTAAAATAATATTTTTCTTTCAAGGACTACCACAAGGTGTAAGTGGATTAATTAAAGAATATTTTTTCAGGGACGTCACACAAAGCGTGTGTTAGATACCAAGCAACGGCTGTGATTGGCTTTAACATGGCGAAGCCCAGGCTTATCTTGCCCCCTCTTTCATCTCAATTGTGGGCAGTGACCTCCCCGCGGTGTCACCTGTGGTAGCTATTTTCATCACTCGTTGAAATAGTGAGCTAATATGTGCCGCGAGTTCACCTAACAGAACTATAAAAATGGGTTGAGACGTTGGGTTACTTACCCACACTCGGAAAACCGAACCTACTATGAAACAGCAACGAAAAAGAAAATCAAACTCCCCAATGTTGATGATCCCCGCAAACGTATAAAGGACCACGATCATTAGCGGATGTACTTAAGAAGTGCAAAGCCGATATTATTGCCTTACAGGAAATGCGATGGAAAGGGGCTGGCGTAAGTAAATGAAATGATTACGCCCTGTATTATAGCTGCCATGAAACGAGACGTGAGTTTGGCTGCGGATTTATGGTTAACAGGAGAATAAAAGACCTCGTATCCAGATTCACTCCAGTAGATGAGTGAATTGCTATAATCCGTATAAAATTCAGCTAGGAGATTTTAATGGAAGAGAAATATTTTTGGTCCCACCGTCGGAAAATTCAGCCTCAGAATTCAGAAACATCCAACAACGGCATGCGGTTGATTAACTTCGTATAAAAGCGAAGTTCTTCTACATCAGTCTCATTTGCGCCCATGCTCCGACGGAAGACAAAGATGAACAGACCAAAGACATTTTTTACGAGCGCCTAGAAACTGCATATGACCGCTGTCCTAGCCACGGCATTAAAATTCTGCTAGATTTAAATGCAAAAATCGGAAGAGGAAATATGTTTGGTCCAACCGTCGGAAAATTCATTCCCCATGAAGAAACATCCGACAACGGCATGACGGTGATTGACTTCGCGGCAGCAAAAAACATCTCGATATACACAAGGCCACTTGGATTTCTCCTGATCAAGCAACGAGAAATCAAATTGATCATGTTGTGATAGACGGAAGGCATTCATCCAGTGTATTAGACGTTCGATCGATCCGAGGAGCGAATATCGATTCGGACCATTACCTTGTGGCAGCCAAGGTACGCACCCGTCCTAATATAGCAGCAAAGATGCGACCTAACACAACACGGAAACTCGACGTCGAAAAGCTGCAACCACAACAGGTAGCCGTTGCCTACTCAGCTTAACTTACCCACCTGCTTGAAGAAAGTACTTCTTTTCCCGATAATAATATAGAAGCACAATGACAGAAGATTGCCCACTCCCTACAATCTGCAGCAAAATCAAAACTTGGGTACCAAAAACCATCACCAAGAAACCCATGGTACGATCAGATGTGTCGTAATGCTACTGATGTGAAAAACGCAACGTATACGTATAGTACCAACACGTGACGTGATGGAGAATTATCGGGAGAAAAGGAGAGAGGAGAAACGTGTTTTCAGAAAAAAGAAGGAAGAACAAGAAAAACGTGAGCGTGAGCAAATCGAGATATACAGGAGTCAGAATGAAGTCCGGAAATTCTACCAGCGAGTAAAACACCACACCGAAGGCTTCGGTGCCGGCACATCCTCCTGTAGAGATGAAGAAGGAAACCTGGTGACAGATACAGACAGCGTGTTGAGGATCAGGAAGGAGCATTTTGAAAAGCTTTTGGTATCAAATAGTGGCGTTGAAGAAGTTACCCCAGAACCAATAAGAGATTATGGTATAGAGTGTATACCACCTAGCCAAGATGAGGTCATATGGGGTGGGTTGGGGATGGGTTACCAGCCGAACTATTCAAGACTGGTGGTCACATGCTGGTCAGGAGCATGCACCAGCTGGTTAGTACAATTTGGCTAGGCTTGGGTTTATTAAAGAATATTTTTTCAGGGACTAAATCAGGCGAGGATTTATTAAAGAATATTTTTTCAAGGACTACCACAAGGCGTTTATTTTTCAAAGAATATGTTGTCAAGGACCAACGCAGGCGTGGATTTTTTAAGGAATATTCTCTTCAGGGACCAACAAAGGCATAGATTTTTTAAGATATATTCTTTTCAAGGACCAACACAAAGATTTTTAAAGGCGTGGATTTTTTAGGAATTTCCAAATAAACCTCGAATGTCTCATATCAATGAAGGTTAACATTTAAAATGAGCTAAATAGCTTACAAATTTTTTTAGCATGTTGTTGAAGAAAAAGAAAAAAACGACAGCAGCAACAATAACATAAAAACAAAATGAACTACAAAACTATGATACTAAATGTGGGCTAGCATACGAAGCGTAAAATTTCCCAAAAAAAGGAAAGTAAATTATTGTACAGCAAAGTAGCATTTTGCCAATTTCCTTAAGTAAAGTCCATAGACATTTTGTGTATGGATAATGTCAAAAAAATTCCGTTTTGGTACTAAAATATTTTATTTGCCGAAAAGTATTATGGCATTTCATTGGTTGTTTAACTGCAGTGCCAAATGTTTTGGTGAAAAATTTATTCGACATATTTTGGTCAAGTTTACGAGCTCTTAAGAGCCAGCAGAGAATTGAATTTATACCATGACCCAGAAATACGAGTAATAATTTTACAAGAAATTTCGAAATATGGACACAACTAAAAAGGATTATGGTGTTATTAAATACCTCTTCAAAAAAGCTTCTTGTAAGGAAGACAATTTTTTCAAGGACCATTACAAGGCGTGGATTTTTTAAATAATATGGCATGTTTTTTTAAATACTTTTTTAAGGACTAACTCAAGGCATAGATTTTTTAAAGAATATTTTTAAGGACTTATACATGGCAAGGATTCTTAACCCTTTCAGTGTTTTTGTCGAATATATTCGACATTTAAAATTGCTCTCTTTCTTTGCGATTTTTCGGTTATCCTATGTACCCTTACTATTGATGTTTTCGTTTTTGCTGAAAGACAGACGAACCTGGGTTAAAATGAGAATTGCTATTTTTTCTAAACTCTATGCCTTTATATGATCAATTTTATATTTTTATTCCGACAAATTTTTTTTCTTTGACACTGAAAGGGTAAAAAGAATATTATTACTATGGACCAATACATGGCCTGGAGTTTAAATAACCAATCAAGGCAAGGGTGTTATTTTTAAGGACCATTAAAAAGCACGGATTTTTTAATGAATAATTTTAAGGACCTCTACAAGGCACATTTAAATATTATTTTTATAGACAACTACAAGGCATGGATTTTTGAAGAGTATTTTCAATAAGCAATAAACTTTTTTTATATGATACTTTAAACATTGTTTTCCTAACCCACATTTAATGATATGTTTTCTTTTTGCCAGTTATTTATTTATTATATCCTTCCTTTAAACAAATTGTCCTTGCTCCCTCAGGATATCTTTTTAATTAAATATCAACAAAATCTCATTTCAAAAAAATTTCCGGTGCTGGATACATTTTTCCTTAATAATATTTGATGCGATAATAAGATTTTAAAGTTAAGAAGCATTTACATGTTCCCATATACCCAATGCATAAACGACATACCACCGTAGGCAATCCTACAGAGACCACAAACAGTTTGTTTTGTTCTCAAAAAAAAAAAAAAAAAAAAATTAAACTTAAACTTAAACTTTAATGAAAATAAACCCTTTAAATTTGTTGTCACCTACCTTTTGATCTTTCCACCCCACCAACGGTGGAAAACAAATGACGAACGATAAAACCCAGATGCCAGCAATTAGAGATTTGGCCCTTTTTGTCGACATAATGCTGGGATAAGTAACCGGCCTTGTAACCGCCACATAACGATCCAAAGATATGGCACAGAGATTTAATATTGATGCCGTGCACATCCATACATCAACGGCCAACCAAATGCGGCACCAGACATCACCGAATATCCAAACCTTAAATACAAAACAGAAACAACAAAAAATACATCATAATTATTTATTTATTTAGGTTTTGTTTTGTTCGGGGTTTTCCAAAAATAACCGCCAGACCGCATGACGTATGACTAACATTAATTATTTGCTGAAAATAATTTATAACACTCATACGCATACGTGTCCGTAGTAATTCCACATGAATTTCCATTTCATCCCATCTCATCACTCCCGTACTCACCTTAAACACCTCCCATGTAGCCGAAAATGGCAGCACCGCCAAACCCACCAATAAATCGGCCACAGCCAAATTTACAATGAAAAAATTGGTAACACTACGTAATTTGTTCGAACAAAAGACGGCAGCAATTACTAGCAAATTTCCACCGATTACTAATACATTGATAAATTCGAGTATCGCTAATGAGATCAAATTTGATGGTTCCGTCCATTTTACCGACTTTATTAGACTCTCACACTCTGTTTCATTCATGGCGGTAATTCAATGATGGGTGTTGAAATGTATTGACTACCTGGAATGAAATTGGGAAAGAAGAAGAAGAACAAGAAACGTAAGTAACGTAAGACGATCAGATTCAAAATTAAATGGAAAAATAAAATATTCCTTCAATATTAAATAAATTAATGAGTCTTTTAGAATATGATATAATAATTATAAAATTAATTAAATTATGCTGCTTTTGTTAATTAATAGCCGTCATCATAATGAAGGCACGTGCGTCAACGTTTTATGGAACGTCATCAAATTATAATATAATTAGAGGTTTTTTTGTACGACATTTAATGGTCATTAAACTCATTACACGTACAAATTATTAATTTCAAAATATTCCACTTAATATTTTATAATTTGAGTAAAAGCTATGAAAAATATTAATATATATATATTAAACAGCTATTGTTGACTATCCTTATGAATGAATTAAATTCAAAATCAAGTATTAAGAAAGTGGTAAGATATAGAGAAGATAGATACCATAGGTACCCTTAAGTATTTCGAAGTATGCATATTGAAGTTTAAACAATCCTTGAATTCAAATATATTTACTAAACTTTTTTGAGAATACCAAACTAAGAGGTACCATGAAAAACAGGTATGTAATCTGGTTTTCCTATCCAAATATCTGCAGTATGGCACCTTGGATCCTTAAGTATGAAAAACGTATTTAAGCAAGGGAATGTTAAAAGTTAATAAACCAGTTACCCAACCCGATTGCCTATAATTTGGTATTTCGTCCTGACCACAGAATTTAATGGTGTCTTTACTTGTTTTCTTTTGAATCCTAAACTTCTTCTAGCAGAAAGATCATGTTTTGACATATCCCCATATAATCGATCCTCAACATTTTATGTACGTGATCATATTTTGACATATCCCGTCCCATAATAAGTATTTTTAATGGCCTAAAAAATTTGTCGACATATGTCAATTATGTGGTATTTCGGTTTTCTATTTTTTTTTTCTAAAATATTTACATATTTTTTAGCTGAACATATTATTTTAGAGGTGGTTTTTAATAAACCATACCTATATATTTCATTTGCTTACAAACTTATCAAGACTTTCATTTACAAGTTTACTTTCATTGATAATATCAAGAATGGGAGCTTATGAATGAAAATAGAAAAATGATCCCGACGACAACATGGATCACACAATATATTCATTTTCTGTTCAATACAGACCCACACATGAGAAGTGTGAGAGTAGCAGTTAAGGGGTGGACACGATAACTCAAGAACTTACAATCCAATCCGTATTCGGTGACGATCTTTCATATTTTCTAAAAAAAAAAAAAAATTTCAAAGATCCGCCTTTTTATTAATTTTTTGTGTGATTTTAATGACAGATATGTTCTCTTTCGAATCACATTGCAATTTTTAAGTCTTCAATTCCATATATGCAATGTTACATGTCTACATCGCCGAAATTTTAATTCGAGAATAGGTGGAGTCCACTTAAATGTGGAAATGCTGAGAACGTGTGGCGCAGAAAGAGTCTCGCAAGTACACCTAATAGTTATCATTTAATAATTACTTTAAACCTCTAAGTCCTTAACATGTCCTTAAACATGTGGTAGGCTGATGGGTTCACTTTTCTATATATCTCCACATGTTGTGAAATAGTTATTATAAGCACCTCAGTGGTGTGACGCTGAGTTTGTAATGCTTTCATAGGAAAGGCAATTGTCCAGATTTCAAAAAGTGTATCAACCATAGATAGAACGTATTACCCATTGCTTCTAACGTAACATACATACTTGCTGGTCGTATAACCTTTATATTCAAAGTGAAAGATGAAATAACTAATGGCCATAGTAGGTCGAGTGTCGTACAGCATTCTGAGATTCACTGAGCGAAGGCCACATATGTCGTCAGTAGCGCAGACTCTTTGGGCACTACTCCTCCCTAAAATTAGGGTGAATAATTGGCAATAATAATTGTTTTAGTCCCTGTATACCAAAGGAAAACCAAGGTAGTTTCTGACTTCCACGAGTTGCCCTGATGGCCCCATGTTGTCTAGGGTCACAAAAATTTGCAGAGGGGTTGGGGAACACCTAAATAAGATTGCAATAAAAAAATAACTATAAAAGCTTAACCCATTCGAAAGCTATAACGGATTTACTATGATTGTTTTCGATAGATTATCATTTAAGAATGGATTTAAATATATATTATTTTAATGTATATATAATTTCGAGTTCCTACATCTAGATCAGATTAGTATAGACTTACTTAAAACAAAAAACCTCACGATAGTCCAATTTTTTTATGAATTACAGAGCTATCTTTGGATGGGTACAAATGTACCACGGTTATTGATCCACGTATAATTTTTTGGTTAATTTAATATGAGAATCTGAATTGTTTCAACATAGTAATATTTTTAGTAAACAAGACCGCCGATTTGAAAATTTGTAAATAGCTTACGAATCAAATGCATCATCCAATTTGACCTGGTTCGATCTTGACTAGGTAAAAATATTAGGTACCTCCCGCACAATAGTTCAAAATGTTGAATATTTGCTAATCCAATAACAATGATTTGGAATGTCCGATATGATACTATGAAGATAGGATCCATTTGTCTACTTCTTCTTGTACCTCCCACACAAACTAGTCAAAATTTTGCTGAAAATTTATTTTATAATATCATGGCGATTACAACTACTGTTTAAGTTCGATACATGGCTTACTGCAATGTATATGTACGATACATTGTTTCCCCTTCTACAGCATTACAATTAACCACTTTAATTGTCCGCTCTTTGGAGCCCAATGGGGAAATCTTCTCTGCATATCTTCCAGGAGCCTCATTCGCCTAGTTCCGATTGTAGGGGAGAGTTTCGCTCTCATCTACTATATCTCCTGATAGCCACATTCGTTTAGTTCGGATGCAGAGAGGCGCTTTCCAATGCTGTGGTCGTAGTTGTTGATCACGGCCTTGCTGTAGCTTTCTTGCATATCGCAACAGTACTTGTTTACCCGCTTTCGTACCGTAAACACTTGCTTTTTAACTCTCGTTGATTAAACTTGCTTTCTAACTCTCGTAGAGTAAACACTTGCTTATCCGCTTTCGTAGAGTAAACTCTTGCTTTTTAAACATACATTCTCGCTATCGTTGGTAAAACATCTCTCGTTGTCGTAGTTAACGCACGCTTAGGTAAAGTCTTGTTTCTAACGAAACCCATTCAATTTACAATAAAGATTGAAAATATTTACTAAACTATCTTTCTTTTTTTATTTTCTTTATTTTTTTGTGGTTTCACTGCATCTCGGTATCACGCCAATAACTACTTTACACGACTTAATATTTTAACAATGTCTGTAAAATGTTGGAAGATGGGACTTATCGGTCCACGCCTTCTAGTATCTCCCTACAAAAGACCAAAATATTGAAACCTTGTAAATCTCATATGGAGCGTACGCACTATTCAATTTCATGCACATGGTAATATATTCACCTAACAAAGATCAAGCTTGCATATGGGACCCGGTAGTCCACTCCTTCTGGTACCCTCCCCACAAAGTGTCAACATTTTTGGAAATTTGTTCATCCAATATCAAGATGATTAATATCTGGTTTGATCCAAACTTTGCAAATCGTAATATATTTCCAAGCTTCCATTAAATCCTTAGATGGAGCACATAGGGCAACTTCTTCAGACACCTTTCCAAAGGTGGTCAACTATTTGATAAATACATATATCTTATATAAGGCGAATAATAAAATCTGTGTATTATTCCGTAGACTTCCGCAAACCATATGTTGAGTGTATATGGGAAATTACAAAATTCTTTTAAAATTCCATAAAAAAAATGAAATTTTTTTTTGCGAGCACATTCATGGTTTTTGGTTAAGAAAAATATGCTGATTCGAAATATGTTCGCGTTCACAAATTCGGATGCTGCGCACAAGTTATAGCGATTTTAAATCTTGTATTTAAAATGTAAATTAAATTAATTCCTATTTGCTGTAAGTCGCGAATTTCTTCCCAAATGGTTAAACACATTTGTTTTCTTTGCATAATTGTCAAATCACATTGAATTACGGTTTAATAGTCGCGAAAAAAGAAATAGAAGCATGAAGATATCTGAAAATAAAATAAATTAATTTTTTTAATTAAATCGAAATTGTTTTTTGAATTTTCGATTTTTTTAGTATGGTTAAAGGAATACGATTTTGCCTTAATCTTCTAAAATATGCGACGCTTTTTTCTTCAAATTCTTTTAGATGATTGTTAAATATCGGTATATTCATCTGATAACAGTTTCGACTGTAAAAATTACTAAATATATTGCAGTTACAATACATACAAATTACCAATATTTAAAAGCATGCAATTCGCGTATTCGTTAAAATCAGCTGATGCGCATGCGGTTTTCGTATAAACCGAATCAATGTCTTTCAATAATTATGCATTTTTCGATGTTTAATTTAGCGGTCAAAGTGTGCCGCTCGATGCACTTTACTATGCAAAAACCCTAAAAATGGCTAAAAATCACGCAACGTGCATACGATTTTTATGCGCATCCGATTTCAGTAATCTCCTATAAAAATACACAAAACAATACACGGATGTGCCTCCACAATCGATTTTGGATAAAATACACATATTATTCGCGTATCGATATATCTTTGACCTATTTTCACACAGATTCGCGAATATGATAACACAAGAATGAATGTATGTGAAATCAATTCGAAGAAAAACGCGATTATATACGCGAATTTGTCAAAATAAGTTTTTGCTGTTTTTCCCACATTCAAGGTACCTATATCCGCAGTTTTATTGGGCGGAATTGAACATAGATGGGCTCATTAGATTCGGCACGTAAAAATCTAAAATCACGGTGGGTTCCACGGAATTTGAATGGACTTTCTTAATTTTCGACTCAAAAATATTTACGCACCAAATTTTCGTCTTTGGAACCCAATTGCAAAGAAGCTACGGTGAGCACATTGATGAGATATACACTAAACGAAGCAAAATCACGTGTTCTACA